TCGAGTGGAGGTCTACGAGGATGATGAGAGGACTGGAGCATCTCTCCTATGAGGAAAGGCTGAGGGAGCTGGGCTTGTTCAGCCTGGAGAAGGCTGAGAGGGGACCTTGTAAATGCCTAGAAATATCCTAAGGGTGGGTGTCAGGAGGATAGGGCCAGACTCTTTTCAGTGGTGCCCAGCGACAGGACAAGGAGCAATGGGCACAAACTGAAGCATAGGAAGTTCCAGCTGAACATGAGGAAGAACTTCTTCCCTCTGAGGGTGACGGAGTCCTGGAACAGGCTGCCCAGGGAGGTTGTGGAGTCTCCTTCTCTGGAGGTATTCAAGACCCGCCTGGACAAGGTCCTGTGCAGCCTGCTCTGGGTGACCCTGCTTCGGCAGGAGGGTTGGACTAGATGATCCACAGAGGTCCCTTCCAACTCCTACCATTCTGTGACTCTGTGAAAACACTGGCTAAAGGTTGTAGAAACAAAAAGAAAACAAAAACTAAAGGAAGGCCTGAAGGGGACTCGGCCCCGGCTTGCCTGCTCTTGGTGAAATGTCAGTTCTGTGTCAGCCTTGCTTAAAGGTATTATATTCTTCTGATTTTCTAACACGATAATGTTACATGCAAATTAGTATTCCTACCTCTGATTAGAAAAAAGTCTTCTAAAGAAAATGTGCATCCACTACAATTAACTGCTTTCAGAAACCGAAAGCTTCCTTACAGTGCCAAATGTCACACACTGCAGTCTGACATCTGTATGCACAATACCATCAGTTGTTTACAAGTATTTCTTGTAAATAAACACCAACTATGGATAAAATTGTTTTGTGAGACACACAGAGAGCAGAGATGAAGGAGCATCTAGTTGCAAGGCACCTGTGAGCAGTTTAACCACTCGCCCCCCGTAGTGCCTAACCTTTGAGCAATTGGAGATCAAACATTGAGACACAATAAGCTTCTAGTCAGAAAATTCGACATTTTCTTGACATATTGGGAAAAATGGAAGCATATATGCAGAAATGGGGGGGGGGCAGGGGAGCAAAAATACCAAAGAATTTAAATCAGCTGACCAACACCTCTTTAGTTCCAAATGCTACAAGCATAATTAAAATATTGCAGCAGCACAGAAAGTGCAGTTTTATCAAATGAAGAGCTAATTAATATTCAGTTTAGTTGTTCAGTCTCCTCACCGATGCTGCTAGCTGTTTGCAACCCCATGTAAAAAAAAAAAAGGCAGAAGACAAAAGGAGACAAAAGCTACTCCTCACAAAAATCACTACCTTCTTAGCACTTATCATTCCTTACAAAAATCACTCAAGTACTGGAGCTGCTCTATTTCTAAGCTTAGTGGTGGACTTCAGGACTTGAAGGGTAGGACATGTTCTGACGTTTAATGGTGTGTTAAGTTATGCACCATACAGTATAATTTTATAAAGCTCTTGCCAAGAAAATTTGTCAAGGCACTGAATACATTAGAAAGGCTACAAGAACAAAGTGACCTAACAGACTAGCTTGGCAGTCAGCTACCATGAAGAGCCTGGAAGTTGAGCCTGTATACCAAACACCTTGCTTAGAAGAGGATATGGTCCAAAGGAGCCTGGCAACACTGAATACTGAGAAGACGTGAGGGTTGAGGTGTCAGTATATGTTCCTTCCCAGAATTTCACTTTATCTCCCAAAAATCCAATTTTCCTCTCTCCAGCAAATGATTAACTTTATTCTGGAAATCCTTCTGAAGACTTGAACTAATGATAATATCAAAACAGTACGTATGGGTGGTACCAGGTAATGCAGAGTCTAGATGCCAAAAGCTGCCCCTCTCCTGACATTGGCACTCTTCTACTCTTCCATCTCTTCTCACAGGCAAACTTTGGAAAACGGCTGTAGTGAATCCCTGTGACTTTTAATCTCAAGGCTTGAGCTATGTGTTGGTGTCTGATGCCTAGCACAGAAGCTGGTAACACCTTCTGCTCAGCTTCAAACATCTCTCTGCCTTTGCTGCCTTTTGAAATCCTTTTCTCTCTGCAGCTTCTTAAATCTCTCCTCCAGGCAATTCCTTCAACCAGCTTTCCAATGCCGATTTCACTGTTGTCTTTCCTCCTTGCTCTCCCAGACTGTAACTTACCAGGACAAAACACACATCTAAGCTGCTTATACAAATAACAAAGCAGAACTAACAAAATATTCATATCTCCAAAAGGTAACTCTTAATTACACCTCTAGAATTTTTTATGGAAAATCCACCATACCCCTCATTCCACAGAGGAAGTGCCTCAGCTTCCTAAGATTTTCAGTTCCCCTTCACATCTCTTTTTCTGTCTGCCTTGAAAAATAAGTTATCCTCCAGCAGACTGAACAAAATGATATAAAGCATCACCTTCTCCCACATAATTCAAAAAGCCCTCCACCACCAAAAAAACCCTCCAATCATACAGTTGTCCTCACTTTCATTTTATCATGGATGCAAATAATAACAATAAAATGTAGAGAAAAAGAAATTAAAAAAAAAGATTGATGCCTATATAATTCTCTAGCTTTTACTCAGAGACACATTTTCAAGGGAATTCTCGCTTTTGTTTTGCCTCCCCATAATTCCTCAAGGAACTGCTTTATTAGACCTAGCCACAGTCAACTCATTTCCATCCTTTCCTTCCTCTTCCCCACGACCCATTTACCCTATTCAATCTTTTACAAAGTTCAACCCAAATAAACACATCTAATTTGGATCAGAAGCTCCTCTTTTTATAGAATTTGCTGTCTATTTTGTGTCAAATACACTGCTCAGTAACAAATAATCCTAGGGTTTAGTTCACGGTATAGTAGTGCTAGTAAAAACGCATCCTACTTGCAAACAGAAGCTTCCTGAAGCCTGCACAGTGAGGTGGTGGGGTTTGGTCACACTTGAAGAGGTACTTGCATCAGCCTTCATGGACGCTCCAGTACTTTACGAGACTAATCTCAAACATGTCTTCAGCTAACAGGAAATCCTTCAGATCAGATCCAATTAGTTTGTTTGGCTCACAATTAGCATTCTGGTGGGATCTCGCGAGACCCCAGATCCCATCCGACTGAACGGAAATGTAGGTCACACTGTACTTCTATTCTTCAGTCAACAAGCAAAGCTCTGAAACTCCTGTGCCAAGGTCACTGATTACGAAAGCCTAAGTTTATCTTAGA